GGCCTGGGCCCTCGCCTCCTGCCTCGGCCCCGCAGCGCCTGCCTGCCTGCCTGCCTGCCTGCCTGCCTGCCCCTCTCGGGTGGCTAGCTGGGTTTTCCAGGGGAGATGCTTTGGGGGAAGCTGAAAGTTCAGTCGCGGAGTATTTCAGCATCCCGCCTTCGCGCTCTGCCCTCAGTTTTTACCACTCTTTTGCCTACCTGTATCAGAAATGTTGCTCCAGACACAAAGAATGAAAAGCAATTGGCTACCTTCACATCATCATCACAAGCCTGCTTCAGTGGGAACTTACTTTTAAGGTCCCAAAAACATAACACATGGGAAATTATTAACCCTGTCAGGTAATTTTTCAGTACCTTGAGATGATGCTAGGTCCTTTGCAACAGATAATCGATTTACTTCGGTGCAAGAAGTAAGCCACTGACTCATGGAACAGCTTACTGATTAGTATTGCAAGTGCACGCTTTTCTTCCTGCAAAATGGCAGTTGATAACCAAGTGTAACACTCCCCTGTAAGGAAAGATACACAGAAAAGAAATATTTGCATTTGTTTACCTCCGCAGCTTAGGAAGTGAAAGCCGTACCCAGCTGAACTTTCCCATCTTTCTAGATGACATGCATACAGAGTGGAGAATGAGCCTACAGAAAAGTTGATTAATCAGAGTTCCTGTCTGGCATGCATACCAAACCGCAGGGTTTTTTCCAGTCATTTCTGTAGCAAGCTTAATGGATGGCTGAAATGAAACAGCTTTCTTAGAAATATAGCCTGGCCTGATTTCGAGTGATGAGACACAAAGCTTTTTTTGTACCATTTCTGCCAAGAAATCTCACGCTAAGGGTATTTAGCTGCTTTGAACATGGCAGCTCACTGGACACAACCTTACGTTTTCTTCCCAGGGTATCTTGTCCCCTGTGGGTCGGGGGGTGTCACACCCACTGTGGGCACCACCTCTGATTTTTCTAGCTTCTGTGTGTTCAGAATTTTCAACAATATTTTATTTCATTCATACTCTTAATGGTAAGCCAGGAACCATATAAATATAAAATATTTTGATACGTTATTTTGCTTCCTTGATTGATTTAGTATGATTCAGTTAAACCCAATTCATGATTATGCTCATGGCTATTTGAATATAGTATGTGCAAAACAGCAATCGCATTCAAATAGCTGTAACACATTATTTTTGACTGCGTAATCACAACCAAAATAAACAAACATGAAGGAATATCGGAATCAATGTATCCAGCTACATGATTTTGCGTTATCTGAACCACTGCTGAGGAGTTTGTCCTTGTGAGTCCTTGTAGCAAAATACATTTAGTCCTAGTTCAGTTTCACCTAGTTTCACCTAATCACGGAATTCATTTCACCACCAAGTTATTCTTCTAAGTAAGAAACCTGTGTATGCCCAGCAGCCTCGATGCTGCATCCATAAAGAAGAAGTCATAAGGAATTATGACTTCATGAAAAGGAGCTCTACAACCACTGAGAAATTTTCACCATTTTTAGTTTCACCGTCTTTAATTTCTTCATTTTTAATCCTCATTTTATAGAAAAAATGTTTGTTTCCCATTGAGAGGTTTTTTCTGCAGAGAAGGCATGCACATTGGTGGAATGGTCAGAAGGGCGGTTGACATTTAGGTGATAGAAAGTACTACTGACAGGCTTGTTGTGTTTTGTAGGATAAGAAGCAGCCTGGGTGGAGTATATGTGTCATAAGATATTTATAATCTGTCTCTTACAGGTATAAATATACAAGGGATACGATTACTAAATATGTAACTATAACTGAAATGTACGTCAATCAGAGAGGAATATTTTATTGATCTTGCCACACCTATCAGTTTGGTGCCGTATCCTTTGAGCAGATGAATTTAAAAATCCAAAAGTGTTTTTTAAATTTACATGGTTTTATTTCACAAAATTTTGAAGAAAATGTATCGGCCGTTGTTTTCAGTGACTGTCTTTTCCTGGTTTTCCTCCTACTTTTCGTTTCTTCACAAGATCTTCAGCTTACTCTGACAATTTGACAAGAATCTGTCCCTTTTTGTTCTCCTTCTGTGCAGTGGTTTTCAACTTTACAATTTATGAAAAATTTTTGAATAGAATTAAGCCTACTGAAAATAGGCTTGCTTTTCTTATTTATCTTTTGCAGAGCTCCTAGAAGCAGTCCCTGAGCTTTTAGAGTTCAATAGATAAAAGGTTGGAAAATGATGCTCAACATTTTTGTTCCAAGTTGACAACAGAGATTAAATTGACATACAGCAAACTAACTCCCCAAAATGCAACAACTTGCCTACTGTCTAGCCTGATGTCTCCTCCCGTATGTCTAACCACCAGGTTAAGCTCAAAGATGTGAAAGAATGTTCTTCATTATTTTTGTTCCATTCACTTTGCCATCACTATGAGTAAGAGTTTTGCCCCATCTCTCATCCAGGACTGTAACGTGAATGTTGCCAATGAAAGAGCTATTTAATTGGTGCTACTATTCAGGCTACCGTTAAATCTTTCAGGTAACACCTTTCTCCAGAACTTCTAAAAGGTACAGTATTCCCCATCCAACCACAAAGCTAAAACTCTCTTTATGCTCCTGTTACTTCCTAACAGTGTCACTTCTGGTGGCTTTGACAGATACAGTCTTGCTCCGCTCATATCCAACCAGAACTGCTGCTGAAAGAAATAATCCCCTTAGCTCATCCCTTTGCCCATGTGACTCCCCACTTTGCATCTCTCCAGTGTCCCCCATCTCTACGCTGGCTCTGTATGCACTTTGCCTTCATTTTGAAATCCTTTATTCCTATCCTGTCTTGTTTTCACTTAGCTTTAATATGTTGCTTCTCGCCTCTGACTGACCTAGGATACTGGCTTCCGCTGTGCTTTTATTCATGTTTTTTTAACAAACCCTGTTGTGCTTTCCCCCATCTAACACTATTGCTCTCAAATCCATCCAAAAACACAAGTATGGCAGGATAGCTACTGTAACTTGAGGCCACTGGTGTGCTGAGCCTAATCTAATCATGCTTCTCCCATATTTACCGTTAGTTCTGTCGTGTCGTTATGACATTGACAGAACGTTACCCGTATTTCCGTCCGTTAAGTTCATGTCATGTCTTGCAATTCAGTTGCCATCTCTTCAGCACAGGTACCTTCCTCTTGCTCTTTGCTTGGTTAATATTTAGCACCACTGTCCCTTAAGATCAGACGTGCTTAAAACCTCTGCAGCACAGCCCGTAGCAGAGCAATCCCTGACAACTGTCCTTACCCCTGCTCCTCGCGGGGGTAGAAGGGACGCAGAGCCCATCCTTTCTCCTTCCAGCCTTCCAGCTGAAAATCTCAACACGGTGTCAGTCATGATAGATGGTGCATTTTGTGACACAGACAGCCTGCCATTAGGACAAACTCATTTCAGTGAAGAGCCATCTGATGGTAATGACTTGCAGTCGCAGACTGACCTAGGCTGGCTCGAGTCAGTGTGCTGGAGGTGAAAGGCTCCGTATTCCATTACCAGTACTCTGAGCCATCAAGTCTGCTCCATCCCACCCCCACTTAATCTATATTGATAGACTTGGTAGCATTTTCCTAACTGCTATCATCCATACAGATGTCTGCCGTCATTTTGTTGATACAGTCAATCAATACTACATTAAATGTTACCTTCAGTTTACCCTTAATTGTCTAAAGTAGATGTGGTATTTTCATTATTTATACA